GATAACAGCCCTGTACTGCCTGAATGCACACTTTGCAGTATTCTTGTGATAACCTTATTATTATACATTGTCTACCTGCTTGTAGTAATAATTTAATGAGAGATAACAGTCCAAAATGAAAACAAAGTTTTTTTCATTTCATGTAGCCATTTTGTTTTATGCGACCAGTGAATCATTTTGTATGACCAATGGACCATTTCATGTTAACAGTTTCCTGTAGACCATTTCATGTGGGCAGTGTTGTACAATGACTGTGATTCTTTTAATCCTTGGTTTATTGATTTATTCTCGTGCTGAATCATTTTGTCTTCACTTTCCAGGGGAAGGTAGACTTTTGGGTGGCGTCTTTGTGGTTGGTCCTGGTGATCAGGGTATAGTTTATGAACACAGAAATGCAGATTTCAGTGATCAAGCCAACTGGGATGAGGTGGTGGATGCAGTACAGCTCATACAACCCACAATACCATATGGACCAATGTAAATCTGCAGTATGATTCCTGACATGCAAACCTACTTGCTAATAAGGGCTGCTGGTTTCATGGTTGTATTTCTGCTTTATATACATACATGTATTATTTACAAGACGCCATAATAAAATTTTCCAAATAAGGAGGGCATTCAAATGTGCTTGTAACACTTTAGAACATCTGTGTACATCATTTTACATTTTGGAGTGGGTACTCTAGGTCAAGATTTTCAATACTGCCAAAACGGGAACATTTGAATCAGTTTCAACATCTGTGATTATGATGTTTATGTTGTTTACAAGTAAATTACTCTTAAAAAAGTTTTCTTTACGAATAATTAATTGAGCAGTAATAATTTAATATTATCATAGTGTCATGACAACCACCGAATGCACTGTTCATTTATTTTGACCATATCATGAAATTATAAATATTCATTTATAAATAGAAGCCAGTAATTGATTAAATTGTCCGGCTACTTCAATCATTTTCTGGGTTTTTTTTTTTGGAGAATGACAGTTTTTCCTCATCTTATAAATTGCCCCCCCCCCCCACTCTAAATAAACTGTGAACTCTACAAGTGATCTTAATGTTTTTAAAGACAAATACACTGTATTAGGGTAGTTGATATTTTAGCAAGAACAGTATTCTTTGATTTTATGTCAGTAGAGGTCATTTCAATTCAGTTTCAGAAATTTTAAGGTCAATCTCAAAGTTTTTTTGTCTCAAAATGTCATTATTTTCATGTCAAGATGTTACTGCAAGTTTTTATGACGATGTTAACCTAAAGAATTTATTCAAGGTTGACATTTGACCTCTTTGACTAACAGCATTTACTTGAAATAGAAGATAAGAATATTTTGCCACAAAAATAAGAAAGACAGTATGTATGATGAAACTTGATAAACTTATTGCATTGTTTTGATGAACATATTGTAATAAGAGGACGATGATGTGGTGCCAATAATAAAAATATTTGAAATACGAAAAACTTGTCGAATATTATTTCAATAATTTTTTTCATGAGAATGACATTTAAATTTACACATGAGTATGTTATTATTATGTTAAGTAGTTCACTATAATACAATAACACTTTATTATCACCGTAAAGAAATTACAATCTTTTTAGGCTCTCAGTAATAAAGTTAAATTAATAAACATGAGCACACATTATATTTATAGTAATATAAGTAATATTTTCAGTAGTTTTTATTTTGTTCAGTCTAGGTTTTAATTTCCCAAAAATTGGATGTTGATTGTGTCCTCTGTGTTAAAAAGGAGAACACTTGAACATATGTATAAATCTCACTGTGTTATGTAGATCTATTATTTCTGAGAACATGTTACCAATAGTAACAGGATTCAGAGAGTGGTTGTATTGACAAAAATTACACTTGAATGTATTAGGAAACTCAGAAACAATCATTCTTGGTGTCTGAAACTAATAAAATTTCCCAGAATATAATTTAAGTAGAAATCTTGTAAAAATTGTACAAGTAGAGATTAATTTGCAAAAAAATTAAATATACTGTGAAAATAGTGTGCTGTGTGAAAAACAAGTTCACCAGAAAATACATTTATATAGAACTGATTTTTCACGAATTCATACTTTATCTTGGAATTACATTAAATAACTAATTTTATAGCTAGGAACACAATATATATATAGCAATCTTTGTGGTAGTGGATACATTTCTGTGACAGAACATACTCTTAAAGCTGCAAACCTTCATTTTTTTAAATAGTTTTAAATTTTATTAGTAGTTGAATCAAAGACAAATGCAGTGATGTCATTTGACAATGTTCCAATATTGTTCCATCAACCAATAGGAACCATTCATTTCAGTTTGAATTATGAAATTTATTATATTTGTTTAAAATGAAGGGAATGGGTTTGTTGTGTTGACAGTATCATAATTTACTTTGGTTTCAAACTATCATTATTTGCATATGTTACAAACAATATATGATTATTTTGAATGTTACACATGTTGGATCTTTACCTTTTCACTACCAGTGTTCTCTTTTCATCACAAATTCACAAAATACTCCTATTTGTAGTCTGCACTTTCCTTCAGAAGATTGGGTCAAAAATAGCCCAATTTCTTGATTAAAATTTACTCAAATTTTTGTCTGTTGGCTACAAAATTAGGGTTCATTTCCAGAAATATTGAAAAATATAAGAAAAAAGTGCAGACAAATTTGGGCGAGAAAGTCTGGTGGTAAAAAGGTTAAAGGGCGACAGTCGTCGTGCCACGTCCTGTTCAATATGGTACTCATAGCGACGTATACAACGCGTATAAAATACATTGTTTATTTACTTGAAATTTGAACACACACTTAGTGTTTGATTTTATATGAGAATAATCGTGTTAGCTCTAAATAATGATAATAATCATTCTGAAAGTGTGACCACATGATATAATAGTGCAGTATCATTATAATTACAGAGACTAATTGTAAGAACGTCAAATCACATTTGGTTACATATATGCTAGATTTGAAATGTATAGCACCATGATAACATTATTGATCAATAATCTTTGCATAACATCAGGTTTCATTTAGGTGTGAATTTGTTTTATATAAAATATTTATAAATGTTTATAAATTTGACCAATCACAAGCCTTAGAGGATGAAAGTAGACCGTATAGTACTCCATTGTGGTGAGTTAACTTTTAACCTCTTCTTTCACACTGACTTGCAATTTAACGTTCTTTGCCAAACAATGACCCCCCAGTAGTCTCTGTTGATATATGTACACTTGGAAGGGAAACGTCTCAAATTTAGCTTCATTTAATTACAACTGATAAACCGTCCTACATATAACAAATTATTCAGAAACAAATATATTTGCTCTATTTTTTTTTTTTTAATAGGCCCAAATATTAAAAACTTACCATTGTTTCCTTAGTTGTCACGAATTTAAAAAAAAAAAAAAATCCGACCAAATTTTTCAATTTTCCGACTTGAGGGCAACATAAGTTTTTTTTTTTGGCCTTATGGTGCATAGAAGTTTGTTTATACATATAAAATATACTGGATTATAGTCCATAGACACATCTCTCTCATTTACATAATTGCATACAGTATGTGTTTCTAACAGAACAAATATGGTAGAAAAAATAAAACAAAAACTCATTCATGAATATCATACTATCAACACAACAAAGCTATTCCTTTCATTTTTTTAAAAATGAAATGAGACGTTTCTATTGGACAATGGAATAACAAGATTTTCAAATGATGTCATTGCATGTTTTTGCTCGTTGATTGGTAAATAAATTCTCCAAAATCTGAAATCTCTGTTTGCCATCATATTTAATTACAGACGGCATACAAAAACACAGAAATTTCCTAAATAAATTATGGTCAGGAGATTACAAAGTTGATATTGAATTTCCGTGCTGGAATATATATCACGAGTGTTTTCTTATTTGATACTCTTTTTGTCCAAATAAAGTTAAAAATGAACAGCACATTGTTCAGGAACATGGAAAAAACCTTTTTATATGCATTATGGCAACAATGCCTTATATCAATTCATTATGTAGTTCAAATAATCTTCATTTCATTTGAAATCATCAACTGAATGTGTCATTTTTTATTGCCAACTTTTTATACCACATAATGATAAGCATGAAGGAAGTAGTGGATTAATGGATAATATTATCATCCACTCAGTATTTGAAAATAATGAGTTTGAGATGCATAACCTAGACCGTCTGTGAATAATAAACGTTAGTTATTATAAACCCAAGTTTTAACACTAGAATAAGAAAGTATTTTTTTTGTTCTCGTTGGCATTGTGCAGTAATTACCAAC